GATCTTGATGCAATTAGCTTGGGTTTGTGAGTATTAAAAGCTCTCATGTAATTCCTATGTGAAGCCCTGGTTAGCACACCCACATAGACCTTTCTTTGCAGTCTCCTTGTAGCATTAATTATGGGCACACTGTCGCTATGAACAGAAATTGTCATCTGATGGAAGATACTCTGCTATGATTGCAAACAGAACTCACCACAATATGTTATTATTATTGTATTTTAAATAGTTTTCTTGGTGCCCGCTTTTCTGGCTTACTAAGCACATACCTAGTCTTCATACCTGGTAAGCCAATACTGGAGTTTTGTTGTCTGTTTTGAGAACTGACTTGATTCAACTTAAATTTTGCCTACTAATCCAGTAAATTAGTTAACTATTTCTAATGGTTATCAAAGTTTCAGAGTCCAAAGATTGGTCTCTAATGGTGATATACTGACTGTTTTGGAGAAATTTAAACTACAGTCTGTTTTTTTGAAATAGCCTATACATCCACATGGTAAGTATTCTTTTTTTCATCATGGTAAAAAATGCCTGGCTCAGTGCTTCAAAGTAGGTACTGCTTTTCCAGAGGAGCCACACTGGTTCCCAGCAGCCTCATCAGGTGGCCCACCCCTGCCCGTAACTCCAGCTCTAGAGGACCAGATGGCCTCTTTTGTCCTCTTTGGGCACTACACTCACACACACAATGTGGCTCATGGTCTCAATTCACGTCACTTTGGTGTTTCTGGGTCTGTGGGGAAGCAGTACAGCATGGTGAATGGGTTTGGTGGAGCAGAGCTGCTTGCCTCCTGGCCATCACAAGTAAGGAGAGACAGAGTCCTGGGACAAGACACACCCCTCAAAGCCTTCACCAGTGCCCCACCTCCTCTCACCTCTTTTTCCCCTCGGTTTTTCAAGACAGAATTTCTCTGTGTAGTCTTGGCTGTCCTGGAACTCTGCAGGCCAGGTTGGCCTCCCTGCCTCTGCCTCTGCCTCTGCCTCTGCCTCTGCCTCTGCCTCTGCCTCTGCCTCCGGAGTGCTGGGATTAAAGGCGTGCGCCGCCACCACCCACTTCCACCTCTTAATAGTCCACTCAGCTATGAAGCCGCTCTCATGATCCAATCACCCCTCCAAAGCCCACCAACTGGCAACTGAGCCTTTCCTGTAGGACTTTGAGGCATAGTTTTTAGGTTCAAACCATAACAACGTGGTTCAAATTTTTAATCATAAAAAGAATATACAGCAGCTGGGCATGGTGGCATGGTGGTTCACGCATTTAATCCCAGCACTCGGGAGGTAGAGGCAGGTGGATCTCTGTGAGTTCGAGGGCAGCCTGGTCTACAGAGTGAGTTCTAGGACATCCAGGGCTAAACCCTGACCAACCAACCAACCAACCAAACAACCCCCCAAAGGACAATATACAATGGAAAGCTTCATTCCACATCTCTTGATCTCTTGAAAGCATTTTAAAAACATTAGCAACTGCCTTTTAGATCTCTTGCATCAGTTGTGATAATTATATATCAGTTGTGATCATCTATATTATACAGTATAGTTAATAATATAATCCTCTACAGCTGGAGCTTTTCGCAGTTGTGAGCCACCTTCTAATCCTATGAGCTGTCTACAAAGAGTTCTTCAAACAAATGCCATTCTTTGTCAAGAAGCTCACAAAGGCAGGCATCAATTCCATTTACTTCTGCACACATTTATTGAGCCACACTGTGTGCTCAGAACAATGCTGGCTGTTCAGCGGGAGAAACATGAGTCATAGGATTGAGAGTGTACTTTTCTTAATTAGAAAGGAGACAAGAACAGAATGAAGGGCTGTTGGTAGGGAAATGTGATACTTCAACTTGACCTAGTTGGAAGGGCTGATGAGAACAGGTTACTCCTCTGTTCTGCAGAGGACTGCACTTAAGGTTTTTGGTTCTGCCTCCCTAGCAGAATATACCAATCAACAGAGCTCTTATTCACAGCCAATCTGATGGTATAGGTTCCAGGAATCTTGCTGGTAGCTTGGTGTCCATTTCACAGTTTTTAGGAGAAGGGAAAGGTATATCAGGCTTCCTCAACAGCAGAATGTCGAAGTAGCCCGTTTGCAATTGAACACTCAAAGACACACCTGAAAGGGCTGAATCCCCTTCGGAGCAGCTGAGAAACCATGGAGTGCTCACAAGAGAGGAACTGCTGGAACTGAGTAAGCCTACAGAGGCAGCAGCGAGCATCTGGAACATAACTCCTGTGTTGTCCAGGCCTTCAGGTTCCCACAGGGGCTGAGAGAGGCGAGGTACTGTGTACAGGATGGGAGGGACATGGCAGGCCAGGGGTGTTTGCTGGACACTGGGCACATTTACATCTGGACACTCCATTTCCTTGTATAAATGGTGAAACTGAACACAGCCTGAGATCACTTGGTTGGAAATGGTCCATCTGTCATGCCGCCTTCCCCGCTTCTCTTCTTTTCTACAGGGTCTTACTATCCTTGGCTGGCCTTGAACTCACTATGTAGCTGAAGATGATCTAGAGCCTGAGATCCTCCTGCCCCCACCTCCTGGGTGCTGGGATTACAGGCACGTACCATACACTCAGTTTATGCAGGGCTACAGATAGAACCCAGGGCTTTGTGTGCTAGCCAATCAATCACTCACTCTGCCAACCGAGCTACATCCTCAGTCTCAATACAGTCTTATCTATTGGTCCTCAGACTAGGCTTGGGACCACAGCCTTGCACAAGGAAGCAGGCAATGATATCCTGTTTGCTGTTAGTGGCAACCATACTTGGAGAGGGCAGGTTTTGATGACTTTATTTGATCATCCATTTGAATTTTCAGAACGAAATTTATAAGCATTTTTCTTTCCCAGTATGAAGTAAACAAGTTTCTAGAGAGTAAAGGCTGGTCAATTCTTTAGCGATGTAGGCGTTCACTGATGGTGGATTTAATATGCTGTCCTTGAAATAATAGAGTCCATCTAGTGCTGGTGCTATGGCTCAGCAGGTTAGAGCATCTGCCACCAAGCTGGATAAGCTGAGTTGGGTCCCTGGGACCCACGTGACAGAAAGGAAAAAACTGACTCCTGTAAGTTGCCTTCTGACCTCTGCATGTACACACCCATACACAGGCACAAAATAAAGTAAGAGAAGATGGGGGGAAAAGGGAAATAGGAATCCTCATGGGGACAAGAAAATAAAAGGTTCTCATGCCCTTAATTCATAACCTGATAACCCCCAAGAGTCTCTTTTTCCTTATAGATAATGTATGGCATGTGCTTGTCCTTTATCACAAAATAACAAGAAACCCTTCAGGGTGACTCACCAGCCTCTGATCTTGGTGACTAACAAAACCCACTAGACTTCAAACCACTCCAACAACCCAGGAAAATGCCTGGTTTTTTCCCTCCTATGTCTGCACCTAACCTGGGTCTCCCACAATAAGTGATAATTTATGAAATTAAATTATTAAAATAAGCCCCTTTTCCTTCCAATTGAAACCTGTCTGTTGTTGGTTGCTTTTACTCTTTGCTCTTTTGGGGGGCCTGCCACCCAGCTCTCAAATAAATCACACGGAATCTTATTATTACTTATAAATGCCTGGCCTTAGCTTGGCTTATTTCTAGTCAGCTGTTCTTAACTTAAATTATCCCATCTACCTTTTGCCTCTGGGCTTTTCCCTTTCCTTACTCCTGTATACCTTACTTTCACTCTTACTCCGTGGCTGGCTGGGTGGTGGGGTGTTCTCCTCTCCTTGTTCTCTTCTCGCTCCTTGATCTTTCCCTCCCAGATTTCCCCTTCTACTTATCCTCTCTGCCTGCCAGCCCCACCTGTCCTTTCTCCTGCCTCGCTATTGACCATTCAGTTCTTTATGAGACCAATCAGGTGTTTTAGGCAGGCACAGTAACACAGCTTCACAGAGTTAAACAAATGCAACATAAAAGAATGTAGTACATCTTTGCATCATTAAACAAATGTTCCAGAGCATAAACAAATCAACACATTTTCAACCAATATTCCACAACACTTGTCTGAGAGTTCATTCTGTGTGTTTCAGTTTTTATTTCTGCCATCACTGGGATCTGAGATTATCCTTAAATTTAACTTTTCAGTTACTGTTAAAGAAAAAGAAAGGATATACAATAGGTTTTTCTTTCATTTCTACCTCCTCCCCTTGCTCTTTAGTTCTTCCTTTTCCATGAGGCTCAATGGACTCACTGGGGATGTTCGAAAATTGAATTCTTATGGTGAAAGGGGCCAATGACACCAGTAGAAATATAGCCACATTAAAAAGGTAGAAACACGGGGCTGGAGACATGGCTCAGCGGTTAAGAGCACTGGCTGCTCTTTCTAGAGGTCCTGAGTTCAATTCCCAGCAACCACATGGTGGCTCACAACCATCCATAGTGAGATCTGATTCTCTCTTCTGGCATGCAAGTATATATGCATAGCACTGATACATAAAATACAAATAAATTTTAAAAAAGGTAGAAACACTTGACATTAACTTTAATATTTAACCCAATGTATCATATAAAACACCATTTCAATATGTAATCCATACGTTAATCGTTGAGGTAGTATTTTACTTTTTTGACACCCTCTATATACTTGTATTACTCAATTTGGGTTCGACACATTTCGGATAGTTAGGGGCCCATGTGGCTACTGGCCACAGCACTGAGCAGCACAGGCCTTAGTGTAGGGTGTAGTGACACCCTCAGAGATTCCCCCACCTACACAACCAACAAACCTTCTAGTCACATTCTAAAAGCATACCGTGATGATACAGGTAAGGAAACTTAGAGGAAAGTGGGACGCAGGGACTATAGCAGAGAGTTTGCTTACTAAGCTAATAGGAAAGCAAAGGGGAGGAGGGCACTGGAGGTGGGAAAACCTGTGTCGGTAAGCAGATGGGAAGGGGCCATTTGATGATGCAGGACTTGGCGGAGGGTCTGCAACCTGCTACGGGGACGACCTCTGACTACTGTTCTTTGTCTTTTCTTCTTCTGGCTCCTCTCTTGTCCAGCGGTGGTCTTCGGCCTGCCTTGCACCCGGGCCACCGAGGCCTGTTTGCAGGCCTGCCCTGCGGCCTGCACCTGCAGCAGCGTGGAGCGCGGCTGCTCGGTGCGTTGCGACCGTGCGGGCCTCCTGCGGGTGCCCACTGAGTTTCCGTGCGAGGCCGCCTCCATCGACCTGGACCGGAACGGCCTGCGCATCCTGGGCGAGCGGGCCTTCGGCACGCTGCCGTCGTTGCGCCGCCTGTCGCTGCGCCACAACAACCTGTCCTTCATCACGCCTGGCGCCTTCAAGGGTCTACCGCGGTTGGCCGAGCTGCGCCTGGCGCACAACGGCGAGCTGCGCTATCTGCACGCGCGAACCTTCGCCGCGCTGGCTCGCCTGCGCCGCCTCGACCTGGCGGCCTGCCGCCTGTTCAGCGTGCCCGAGCGTCTGCTGGCCGAGCTGCCCGCCCTGCGCGAGTTCACGGCCTTCGACAATCTGTTCCGCCGCGTGCCCGGGGCGCTCCGAGGGCTGGCTAACCTGACGCACGCGCACCTGGAGCGCAGCCGCATCGAGGCTGTGGCCTCCAGCTCGCTGCGGGGCATGGCGCGCCTGCGCTCGCTCAGCCTGCAGGCCAACCGCGTGCGCGCAGTGCATGCCGGGGCCTTTAGCGACTGCGGTGCCCTGGAGCATCTGCTGCTCAATGACAACCTGCTGGCCGCGCTGCCTGCTGCCGCCTTCCTAGGCCTCCGCCGCCTGCGCACACTCAATCTGGGTGGCAACGAGCTGGGTCGTGTGGCTCGTGCCTGGTTCTCCGACCTGGCAGAGCTCGAGCTGCTTTACCTGGATCGCAACAGCATCACTTTTGTGGAGGAAGGCGCCTTCCAGAACTTATCAGGCCTCCTGGCCCTGCATCTCAACGGCAACCGCCTCACCATGCTCTCCTGGGCCGCTTTCCAGCCTGGCTTCTTCCTGGGCCGCCTCTTCCTCTTCCGCAACCCTTGGCATTGTGACTGCCATCTGGAGTGGCTGCGCGATTGGATGGAGGGCTCTGGGCGTGTGGCTGATGTGGCATGTGCCTCCCCAGGTTCCGTGGCCGGCCTGGACCTCAGCCAGGTGGTCTTTGAGCGCTCCTCTGATGGCTTGTGTGTGGACCCTGAGGAGCTGAACTTTACCACATCTAGTCCAGGGCCCAGGCCAGAGCCGGTGGCCACCACCGTGAGCAGGTTCAGCAGTCTCCTCTCCAAGCTGCTGGCCCCAAGGGTCCCCGTGGAGGAAGTAGCCAACACCACCTGGGAGCTGGTCAACATCTCGCTGTATGACAGCCTTCCCTCTCGTGGAGTGGTGGTCTTGGGTTGCAAGGCCACGTTTCTCTTTGTCTCTTGCCCCTTGCTCACCCTGGCACAGTATGGAGTGTTCAGCCTACAGAGGGACTGACTCTGTCACAGGGAAGTGACCCAAACCACTTCGGCCAAAAGGGGAAGGTTTGCTTGGCTGTGATTGGGAGTGTCTGTAGTTGAGTGGAGAGGAAATAGGATTAGGGTTGGTGATAAAAGTTCTTGTAGAGGTGGAAGAAACACTATCTCCAAAGATAGCCCTAGGCAGAGGAGCACTCTGGGAAATGCCACTGAAGTAGGTATAAATTTCTGCTCTTCTCACATGGGCATCCATTGAAAAAGAGAAGAATGAACAAGGGCTCTTGGGTGGGTAGGTGAGGAATGGAAGTTCCTGGGACTCCTGCCCTCCATCTCCAGGCAACAATGCCCACGGGGCCTACATTAAAGCGGGACTCGATTGGCTAAGTACTAAGAACCATCTTTTTTTTTTTTTTTTTTTTTCGTTTTTCGAGACAGGGTTTCTCTGTGTAGCTTTGCGCCTTTCCTGGGACTCGCTTGGTAGCCCAGGCTGGCCTCGAACTCACAGAGATCCACCTGGCTCTGCCTCCCGAGTGCTGGGATTAAAGGCGTGCGCCACCACCGCCCGGCCATAAGAACCATCTTAGTACTTAGTACATGTACATGCCATCTCTCGTCTCAGTAGCCCACTAAACCCAATCCGTCTTTTCTAATATGATCCTCCTCTCTCCTCCTGTGCCCAGGAGCTTGGGGACAACAAGGTTCAGGAAGGTAGACAGGACATTAGAGAAGGGGCATGGGAAAGAAGAGACTGAGATCCAAGGCAGGTGGTTGTTGCTGAGGTCTGAGGTGTGTGTTAAGTGGAATTTAAAACAAAGATTCATTTCTTTTAGGCCACAATTTATCCCTTAGTATAGGCAGTGCCAGGTGTGTTTGTGGACCACATTTGTAAAATGCTAAAAGGTAAACCAGTTTTTCTAATGTAAGACTTTTCAGTCTTCCAATGCCATTGGAAGCTTCCAGTGTACTGTGAACTCTCAAGGAAGCACAAAATCTTCTTTTAGCATTTCTTGTTGTGGGAAGAGTGTCCCTTCCCACAAATGCTTTGTTAGCAGGGTAGAGCATCTCCAGCTGGGATGCGTCCATTAGGTATGAAATTCTTACGAGCTGCTCGCATGGAGACTGACTAATGGTCCAGAGGGAAGGGGGACCTCAGATTTCTCAGGGTGCATGCCTGAGGGCAAAGGTCGTCTACCAGCACCTACAGTGGATGTGCAGGGGCTCTGAGTGTGGAGCGTATGAGGGTACAGAGGCCGAGTCCCACCCAGGGCCCCTGACACACTAGCTCTTCTCAGGGTCGGGGTGAAAAAGAGCAGAGGTTGATTGTCTTGTCAGCCTCAGAATCGGCAGCTCTCTGGGCCCTGGCCATGAGGGTAAGCTTTGCAGGTTGCCCTCTAAATGTTGGCCTGTGGGCTGGGGATTGTGGGTCGGAGGGAGAGTGCTTGCCTCATATGGGCGAGGACCTGGCTTCTCTACTCATCACTGAAGAAAACAAGAAACTGGTCAGTCATCTTCCAATCTCAGTCTAGTTGGCGGTAGAACCATTCTAAACTGATGATGACAGGTGCAGGTTTCTGATGGGCCATGAGATGGTCAGGTCAGCAAATGTGCCATGCGTCTGCTGCATAGATGCTCCAGTTTGTCTCCACAGGGTGAGCAGCGACAGCTGTATTTGTCAAGGTCCTGGAAATGTACAGTCTTCCCTTCTTTGTATGTAGAGAGGCAAGGTTTCAAAAAACCCACACAGATTAGGGTGTGCCAAGCTGTCAATGGCAACAGTATTTTTTCTTTTTTAAAAAGGTGATTTTTTTTATTGTTTGATAATTTCATACATGCTTTGTGTGTGTTTGTGTGTGACAGGGTCTCACTGCACAGCTGGCCTTGAAGTCACGATCCAACTCAACCTCCTCAGTTCCAATGATTACAGGCATGTGCTACCATGCCCACAAACGGTATTTCTTAATAATACTAAGTAATAGTACTAAGTCAAACTACTGCAGTGTTCACATAGGCTTGCCTACTAGTGACTGAAGGACCTTGCCCTTCCCCCATTCCCTCTGCCTTGCTGAAAACCCTTAGATTACATTCCTGAAGCTAGCCACCAAGGTCTAGTCCCTTGTTTGGCCACTTCCTCCTCCTGAGGCTGACTACCAAGGTCCAGCAATCAGAAGTCCCCTTTGGCTCACCTAATCAACACGCCCAATTAAAATCGAACACCTCATCCTAACATACCCCCCCCCCCCTTACCTTTATAAACCGCCATTTGCCTATGGGTCATGTCTGCTCTCTATGCAGAGGCAGTCCTTTGTCCACCAGGACAAATACCCCTGCCCCCTTTCCCTTGCCTCTTCTCCTTCTAACACAGACCTCCCCTTTTTCTCTTCTTAAAAATGACACCTGCAAGGTCATTTGCTCCTGTTTTCTGCCGCAGTCAGAAAGCAGCCACTTTAACTTTTCTTCACTACTTAATAAAGGATCTCTCTGTGAAAACAGGTGTTTGGGTGTGGTTTGTGCCTAATCCAGGGGTCCGGGAGGCCACTCCCTCAGTGGCCATTAACTCAGTTGAATGGGCATTGAGCAGCATTTAAAACAACACATAGAGGCAGGAGAAATGGTTCATTGGTCAAGAGCACACACTGCTCTTGAGGATTGAAGTTCAGTTGCATGCATCAATGTTGGGCATCTCACAACCACCTATGACTCCAGCTCCAGGGATCGGACATCCTCCTCTGGTCTCCAGAGGCACGGCATTCACACACACACACACACACACACACACACACACACACACACACACACACACAGAGAGAGAGAGAGAGAGAGAGAGAGAGAGAGAGAGAGAGAGAGAGAGAGAGAGAGAGAGAGAGAGAGGGAGGGAGGGAGGGAGGGAGAGAGGATTAGAAATAAGGGAAATCTTTATAAGCAAACTCAAGGCTGAGGGTTGGGGATGTAGCTCAGTGACAGGGTGTGTGTAGCATGAACAAGGGGCTGTGTTACATCCTCAGCACAGCACCACACAAAAAGCCCCAAATCCAACATCAACAAAAATATGTTAGACTAGGAAAGTCACAAGATGTCACATGTGAGATACGAGTAAGCATTATAGCCAGGTAGTAGTGCTGCATGCTTTTAATCCCAGCATTTGGAAGGTAGAGGCAGGTAGATCTCTGAGTTCTAGACCAGCCTGATTTACAGACAGGACAGCCAGGGCTACAGAGAGAAATTCTGTCTTGAAAAGCCAAAAAAAAAAAAAAAAAAAAAAAAAAAAAAGTAAGCATTGTGTTGTGAAACCTGACATTTTCATGTTCTTGTTCATATTGTGTGGATGTGTGTGTATTGGGTTGCTATAATTTATATTTTATGGTGGGGTTATAGTTTAAAATTGTGGAAGCTGCTGGTCTGGAGCATGCATTTCTTTTACAATTACACATATCCATTGGGAAGGCACTCTCATGCCATGGCATCACATGTGGAGTTCAGAGGACAGCTGTGGGAGTTCTCTCCTTCAACCACACAGGTCCTGGGGATTGAACAATGCACATGGTCAGGCTTGGTGGTAAGCATCTTCACCTGCTCCACCATCTCACGGACTCTTGAGCATGCATGATTTTAAAAAGACAGTTTACTTTCGGGGCTGGAGAGATGGCTGAGTGGGTAAGAGTGCTTGCCGTGCGAGCATGAGGACCTGAGTTCAAATCCTCAGAACCCATGGAAAAAACTGAGCATGGTCCCGAGCATGCCTGTAATCCTAGTGCTTTGGGGGGGGATGGCGACAAGAGGATTACTGGAACCTGCTGGTCACCAGCCTAGCCAAAAGACGTTTGTGAGCTCCAGGTTCAGAAGAGACCCCGTCTCAAGGGAACAAGGCAGAGCGTGATGGAGCTGAGAACCTAGAGTTCTGTCTCTGGGCTCGTGTATGAATGAGTGCATGCATATGAGCTAGCACCTCCAACCACCCACAACATACAAACTTCTACAAATTTTACTTTGACATTTTTCATACCTGCAGAAAAGTTGCAGGAATAGTAAAGTGAATATTTTGGCCATTTGCCTAAGTTTTCCAATCCCTAAGCTGTTGGCCACATTTTCTCTCTCTCTCTCGTCCCACTGATTCTTCTTTCTTTCTTCTCTCTCTCTCTCTCTCTCTCTCTCTCTCTCTCTCTCTCTCTCTCTCTCTCTCTCTCTTTTCTTTTGAGACACAATTTCTCTGTGTAGCCCTGGTACATTATTTCTTACTAATAGCTTGAAATACAAATATCATGACAATCCCCTTTAGTACCTTAGTATGTAGTTCCTAAGAATGAAGCTATTCTCTTATCAATACCATTATCAAAAAATCAGGATCTCTATAACTTATAAAACACTATTTAAAAACCTATTCTGTGGGAACTGGAGATACAACTCAGTTTGGAGAGTGCATGCTTACCATGCACAAAGCATTGGCTTCCATTTGACCCCCAGCACTGCATAAACCAGGCCCGGTAGCATATGACTGTGATTCCAGCACTGGGGAGGTGGAGGCTGGAAGATCAAAAGTTCAACATAATTCTGAGCAGTATAGCCTGTTCTCAGCCAGCCTGGGCTACATGAGACCCTGTCCCCAAATGCAAACAAAAGCACTCTGGTCTGAGAGTGTGGCCTAGTGGTAGAACAAGTGCCCAGCATCTATAACATCCTGGGTTGCTTCTCCAGAACCAGACACGAAATAAAAACATACTGTGTTGAAATATTAACAACTGCAAAATGAAATTTTTTGAGTAGCTATTTTCCTAGTGGTAGAAAATGAATTCCTAAATCTTGACTTGTCTTCATTTGGTCATAATATTCATGACTCTAAACCTGTTGACTTTAATGTTTCAAAGTGAACTAGTTCTCTGAATGTCTTACTTTCCAAATGTGAGAATCTGATGAGGTCAGAAGTGTTGTTTGCTCAACTGTGTGTTGTGGCCATGGAGACTGAGCAAAGATCACGAGAGTCCAGGAGGGCAGGTCTCTCTGTGTTTGGGTAACCATGGAAGTCCACAGTGGGCACACAGCCTGGGTTACTGAGGAACAAGGTGGTGCCTTGAGAGGAATGTCCTTCCTTTCATTTGGAATGGGTTCAGGAGTTAGCCTCAAAGCTTTGCTCTACTTCTGCCTGGGTTAGGTGACCAGCTTTTAAATGAACATTTACTTGGATGAAGTTTGGAACAAATATCAACACTAAAATAGCCTGGGAGACAGAGTTTTGCAGACATACCTAGTCCAATAGAATTCTGGGAATGTGGGAGCTACTTATTGCCAAATAGATTCAGAGATGCCTAAATAGTAACCCTTATAAATTCTCAGGAGTCGGTGAATGAACCTTTCCCATTATGAGTTCATTAAAGTCTCTCCTGTGGGGAGCAGAGGAAGACCCGAGTGAATGACGTCCCGAGTGAATG